ATCCTTGAACCAGTTACAAAAAACTCTCCAGGTAGCCTCATAAATCCTAATGGTGGATTGTCTTCTGCCTGTCTGTATAGTATTAATAACCTGTGTGGAAAGATCCACCTTTTCTAACAGTCTCCTTTCAAGTGCCAGACGGCCAATTGAAGCCATTGAGGCTCTGGGTGTAGAATTGGCCCCTGGCTGGGAGACACCCGTTCGGGAGGAATCCTCCACGGACATGACACTGACAAACTGACCAAGTCTGCAAACCACGGCCTCCTGGGCCAATACAGTGCTACAAGGAGAATGTCCACTTTCTGCTGTAAGGTCTTCCTGATGACTGCTGAGATGAGAGGTAGTGGAGGGAAGGCATAAAGGGGTCCTTTTGGACACTGGCAACGAAGGGCATTGACTCCCTCTGCTCCCCGGGATGGAAAACTGGAGAAGAAACGAGGCAGTTGATGATTCAACTCAGATGCAAACATATCCAATAGTGGGTGACCAAATCTGCTGGAAATGTCTTGAAAAAGAAGAGGATGCAACCTCCACTCTCCCTGATCTATTGTAGATCTACTTAGCCAATCTGTCCTGACATTATGGGTCCCTGAAATGTGTTCAGCTTTGATTGAAATCATTTTTTTTCTGCCCATGTACAGAGACAAAAAGCTTCTTTTTGTAATGACTTTGACTGTGTTCCTCCCTGACGATTAATGTGTGCCTTAGTGGCCACATTGTCTGTTAGGATTAACGTGTCTTGTTCTCTGACTCTGGCCTTAAATTCCTTGAGAGCTAGATGGACTGCTCTTAATTCTAACCAAATGATATTATGCTTAAGGTCCTGAGTAGTCCAAATGCCCTGTGCTACCAGTTCTTGACAATAGGCCTCCCATCCTGAGAGACTAGCATCGGTAGTTATTGTTGTAAATTCCGTCTTTAAAGTAGCATCCTTTATCTAATGCTAAAGAGGTCTACCAAAGTAAGGATATTAAATCCTTGGTTAGCAATCTCACTTGGATGGGAGAAGTGCCCTTTCATGGATCTCTGAAAGGGTAATAAGAACCACTGCAATTCCTGAGAATACAGTCATGCCCATGGCACTATATCAATGCAGGATATCATTTTGCATAACAATTTTGACATTTAGGCTGGAGATGCTTTTTTTTTTTTTTTTTGAAATAAAAATGGGCTGCTAATTCTTTAATGTCCTCTCTTCTTCGTTGAGACAGAAAAACTAATTCTCATTCGGTATTGATTATTGCCCCTAAATGTAGGAGTCTGGTAGATGACTCCAAATGACTCTTTTCTTGATTAACCAAAAACCATGAGACTGTAATGTTTATAAGGTGATGGCTAAGGTAACTGATTGTATTAAAATATTGTCCAAGTAGGCCAGAATCCTAATTGGAACAGTTCGAAGATGGGCTATTAAAGCTGCTAGGATTTTAGTAAATGCTCTGGGTGACGATGCCAACCCAAAGGGGAGTGCTCTACACTGAAAATGTCGACCAGCATAGCAAAATCTTAAATACTTGTGGTGGTCAAGTGAAATTGGAATATGCAAATATGCTTAGGTAAGATCAATTGAAACTAAATAGTCCCCATGTCTCACGCCCTTCAAGATAGATTGAAGCGTGTGCATCTTGAACCTACGATAAATAACAAAAGAGTTTAGTCTTTTTAGATTTAAAATAGCCCTTCATCCCCCTGATGATTTTGGAACAAGAAATAACATGGAATAGAAGCCTAGGCCCTGTTGTTGATCTGGGACCGCTTCAATACCTTGTATTGTCAGTAGGTGCTGGATTGATTCCTCCGTTTATCTCCTTTTGTATATGTTTGCAGATACTGGACACCTAATAAAAAAATCTTGGGGGCCTGGCTCGAAATTCAAGTGCCAGACCTTCCCTTGTTGCTGCCTAACCCAAAGATCAGAGGTTGTTTTTTCCCATTGGTCTGCAAAACTTTGCAATCTACCACTGACAGGAATACCCAAGTGACTATTTGAATTTTCTAAACCGTCTGTAATAGGGAGAGAATTTGTTGTCTGTCTTCTTTAAGACTGACAGCAATATCTTACGTTTGTCCTGAGATTCGATGAGAACAGGATCTAATGATGCCCCAAATAGCTTTCCCCCTTTGTATGGTGTGGATACCAGCTTCTATTTCTTCTTGTTATCGGCCTGCTAGTACCTGAGCCAGAGTAATCTGCGTGCAGCCACTGCCGAAGACATGGTTCTTGATGCAAATCTGACAGAGTTCAAAGTTGTGTCAGCTGTATATTCCGATGCAGCTATAACTTTGTTAAAGTCTAAGTGGGCTCTTATATTGTCTGTTGGTACCTGCTGCTGCATTTGTCTTAGCCATGTCACAGAGGCCCTGGTAAAAAAGGATGCCGCTGTGGCAGTTTTGACCACCCATGCGGCTGCCAGGTGTGTCTTATGCCACATTGAATCAACCTTTTTGTCCTCTCCTTTAAGACATCAAGTTCGTCATTGAGAGTAGTTGAAGAAGATGCTAAAGCTAACACTTGGTCATCAACCTCGGGTAGCTGTAAAGTTGCTGCTAACAGTGTGTCAACATTGTAAATTTTTTTGTCAAAGGCCATAATTACAGGCCCTGAACCGGGAACCTCAAGCTGTCTCTGCACCATATTAAAGAAAATTTCGTAGGAAGGGATGACATCCACTTCCACTTTTGAGTCCATGAAAACGCTTCATTACCTACTATTTTGTGAGAAGCACAAGGCGTCTCTTTGTTCAATTCTAGGCCGGTTGCACTCTTGGCCTCAGCTAATAATGCTTTAAATAAATGTGGTTTAAACAGGCCTTTAGTATCAGATACCTCTGGCTCTGTTTCCTCCTCTGAAAGGGAATCTATTTCCCCTTTGTCTACTAAACAATAGGAGTGTTCATCCTCTGATGTGGCAGGAGAACATGTTCTGGTTCTAAGAGTCAGTCCAGGAGGATGGGGATATTTTTTACGATGGAGGGAATCTACTCTCGAATCTGCCTGCATTGGATTAGTCATCTGAAATCCTCCCATCATTCCTTGCCCAATCAGTTGTGTGAACCACTGCTGGACCACCAGAGGCATCAATTGACCTTCTGTATTAGTGTGTTGCGTTTGTACAGGTCCAGGTACTGAATGAGCCATTGGTACATGATTACTCCAGTAAGAACACCCTGGCATCTCAGAATCCTGTATGTTAGTAGCTACTTGGCCCAAATTATCCATGTCAGATTCCACTTGAGAAAAAAGTAACTGACTTGTACGATCCTCTTTGGGAGGGCTTAATTGCAATGAATTCACTTGATCTTTTGAAGTCTTTTCTATTTGCTTTGCCAATGTACTATGTAGTCTGTGCTCAGCCTGGCCATCAGCCCTGGTCTTTCTGTTGGCTCTGGCCCTGGCTCTGATCTTGTCAGCTGCCTCCTTTGGTCTTACAGGATCTTTTACTCCCTACCTTTCAGCTGAGTGGAAGCGATCTGCTGTGGAGACAGCACATTGGCAGATAATCCATAATATCTGACAGAAATCAAAATAGCACTCTGACTATAATAAATAAAATTAGAAATAACAAATAATTAGTGTCTTTATCTTATGAGAAAAATATCCAATAACAGCATTAGTCTATTTCAGAAACTTTGTCCTTGAAAACAGAATTCCGCCAATAATTAGGGTAATTAGTTAGCTTAATGTTCCAAATCTCTCCAGGATAATTCTCTATGAGCAGCCATTTTTGGTCATGAGGCACAGTGGAAGCTACTAGAAAATGGCCGCCTCTACAAAATGGTGCTCCACCAATTTTAACCGTTACTGGAGCCTCCTTGTGACAGGCACTACAGCTTTGCTAAGGCTAGAAGCTGGTTGCCTTTACAAAATGGCACTCCCGCCAATTCTGACCGTTGCCGCGTTAATTTTTTACCATTGCAGAACCACGTCACGGCAGTCCCAACAGCTCTGCTTAGACAGCTCTTCCTTACTGGACAGGTTGTCTGACAGGCTTTTCGCTATGTAATCTTTCCGATCTCGGTCCGAACGATCTTGCCTTCAGCTGTTCGTCGCAAGGAAGCTGCTCAGCATTAGGAAACAAGGCAAAACAAATTGTCTTTTGTGCACGAACTACTGAACTCTCCCTTATATGGGCAGGCTACTGAGTTGGCACAAGGTGTCGTTTCAACGCCCCCAAAACCCTATTCCAGGTTTTTGGGGACGATCCTGTAAGCTCCGAGCTGAAGAAGTCTTTGTAAATGCAGAAGCTGTGAAATGAAGGCTTGCGACACCAAAGGCACCAGGCTTCGAAAAGCCTATTGCGCTGATAGTCCCGTAAGGACTGTTGTGTGGATAGTCCAAAATAACAAATATTAACAAAAAAGGTATTACAAACACCCCTCTATGTGAAAGTATAGAGGAGCAAAAAATTAAGCGTGCCAAGACTGAATAGAAGAACTGGAGACGGTGACCTGAAGGGGGTGTGTCTTCAGTTTTTCTATTCAGTCTATAGCCGAACAGAGCTGAATACATCCCATGCATGGATCCTGTCAAAACCATTCTGGAGAACTAAACACGTTGGCTCCTTGTTTTACTAAATACACATCAAGAGAAGGGGAGGGGTCTTAAACTCCCTTATCTATCCCTGCATGCCTGAGGCACGTTAGATGTTGCTTTTAATCCCTACATGAATTGTCTCATCTCAATAAAGGATTCCTTTTGATACGTTTGGTTTACAGAAGTTCGTTCTTGTTGATTGAATAGGAAAATTTCTGTAACCTGACAGCACAGCTCTCACATACAACTTCTGTTGTATGAGGTTCCATGAGAGCACACTTCATTCTCACAGTCACTAAAAATCAGATGAGAATGGGGAGTGCTTTTCAGAATAGTTGTTGACTGTTGGCCTCATTCAAAGTATCATGGTATGTCACTGTTGACATGCATATTATAGTTTTGCATGACTCTTGTAAATGCATTATCATGAACTGACATTACTGAAATACCAAATCTAAATTACTCACTGGGTTGAGTTCTACAGGCCCGGACTGGACGATCAGAGGGTGGATCAACCTCCACTTTTTTTCCTGGATCAAAGTCATCCATTTCACCCTCAGTATCACAATGTTCCTTCTCTCTTTTTCTTTTCTTCTCTTCCTGATATTAAAAAAAAATATTGTCAATATTTTCATATATAAATATACACTGCTCAAAAAAATAAAGGGAACATAAAAATAAGACATCCTAGATCTGAATGAATGAAATATTTTTGTTAAATACGTTGTTCATTACATAGTTGAATGTGCTGACAACAAAATCACACAAAAATTATCAATGGAAATCAAATTTAGCAACCCATAGAGGTCTGGATTTGGAGTTACACTCAAAATTAAAGTGGAAAAAAACACTACAGGTTGATCCAACTTTGATGTAATGTCCTTAAAACAAGTCAAAATGAGGCTCAGTAGTGTGTGTGGCCTCCACGTGCCTGTATGACCTCCCTACAACACCTGGGCATGCTCCTGATGAGGTGGCAGATGGTCTCCTGAGGGATCTCCTCCCACACTTGGACTAAAGCATCCCCCAACTCCTGGACAGTCTGTGGTGCAATGTGGCACTGGTGGATGGAGCGAGACATGATGTCCCAGATGTGCTCAATTGGATTCAGGTCTGGGGAACGGGCGGGCCAGTCCATAGCATCAATGCTTTCGTCTTGCAGGAACTGCTGACACACTCCAGCCACATGAAGTCTAGCATTGTCTTGCATTAGGAGGAACCCAGGGCCAACCATACCAGCATATGGTCTCACAAGGGGTCTGAGGATCTCATCTCGGTACCTAATGGCAGTCAGGCTATCTCTGGCGAGCACATGGAGGGCTGTGCGGCCCCCTAAAGAAATGCCACCCCACACCATTACTGACCCACTGCCAAACTGGTCATGCTGGAGGATGTTGCAGGCAGCAGAACGTTCTCCATGGCATCTCCAGATCCTGTCACGTCTGTCACATGTGCTCAGTGTGAACCTGCTTTCATCTGTGAAGAGCACAGGGCGCCAGTGGTGAATTTGCCAATCTTGGTGTTCTCTGGCAAATGCCAAACGTCCTGCACAGTGTTGGGCTGTAAGCACAACCCCCACCTGTGGACGTCGGGCCCTCATACCACCCTCATGGAGTCTGTTTCTGACCATTTGAGCAGCCACATGCATATTTGTGGCCCGCTGGAGGTCATTTTGCAGGGCTCTGGCAGTGCTCCTCCTGTCCCTCCTTGCACAAAGTAGCGGTCCTGATGCTGGGTTGTTGCCCTCCTACGGCCTCCTTCACGTCTCCTGATCAGGCATGATATTCCCCTCTGAAAAAAAAATCAGGGCCGGCCAAAAGAGACCCCGTGCTGCGCACCAAGAAATCGCACACACAACACCAACGCTACACACCCTTCCTTTCCAGCCGGTCAGGTGTGGATCAGCTCCGGAGCTGGGCAGCCGCTTCCCTGGTGGCGGGGCCAAGGCTGCCACCCGGTGAGCGCCTGCTGCTTTCCCTCGCCAGGGCCGGGTGGTGGCGTGTTGCCCTGCGCCGCATGGCCCCCGCCTGGCAGCGTGCTTCTTGGCACGAGGCAGCCGGGTTGCCCAAGAAGCCCGGCCGGCCAGGCGAGGGGAAGGCAGCGAGGGCCCTGCCGGGCTGGGGCAGAAAACCTGCTTGGCAAGGGGCTGGGGAAGCCTGCGGGCAGAGGACCAAGTGCGCTGGGAGGCAGAGATTCGGCCGAGGCCATCAGACGGAGAGACGGCTGGTCTGCTCCGGTGCCGCTGCTGCCGTTGCAAAGCACCGCCGTGGCTCTTCCTTTTTGCCTTTCCCTTCCCGAGGCAACGCGGGACTGGAGCCGCGCGGAGCTACGCCGGCGGTAGCAACTCCTGACTCAGGGGGCCTCCGAGGGGTGGGGAAGGAGAAGAAGGGGGGGAAAGGGGGGGGCGATTCCCCAAAAAATCAGAATTCCGATTTTAATCGGAAGAATATCATGTCTCCCTGATGTACTGGCCTGTCTCCTGGTAGCGCCTCCATGCTCTGGACACTACGTTGACAGACACAGCAAACCTTGCCACAGCTCGCATTGATGTGCCATCCTGGATGAGCTGCACTACCTAAGCCACTTGTGTGGGTTGTAGACTCCATCTCATGCTACCACTAGAGTGAAAGCACCACCAGCATTCAAAAGTGACCAAACCATCAGCCAGAAAGCATAGGAACTGAGAAGTGGTCTGTGGTCACCACCTGCAGAACCACTCCTTTATTGGGGATGTCTTGCTAACTGCCTATGCTTTCCACCTGTTGTCTATTCCATTTGCACAACAGCATGTGAAATTGATTGTCAATCAGTGTTGCGACCTAAGTGGACAGTTTGATTTCACAGAAGTGTGATTGACTTGGAGTTACATTGTGTTGTTTACGTGTTCCCTTTATTTTTTTGAGCAGTGTATATTTACTGAAAACATTTATTACTGTAATATAAAATTTAGCAAGCACTTTAATTATATTAAACTGAGAACAAAAATAACTGAGAATTTTAAAAGGAAAAATGACTGTCTTTCCCTATAATTGTGGTTATAGCAATAGCACTTAGACTTATATACCACTTCACAGTGCTTTCTCCAAGCATACTGTAGATATAGAAACTGCAGCAGTGGGAACAATAGCCATTGCTATTTCCTCCTTTAGTTGAAGTGATCACATAGGATAACATTTTTTGTACAGAAGAAAACAAATTAACTTAGAAACAGTACAATGGCTGTTGAAATAGAACTTAAAGAAGATATAAAATGTGGACAAAGATATTTTATCTCCTGTCAGCAAGGAGATAGCAAGGAGATATACAGTAGAACCTCTGATCACAACCATAATTCATTCCATAACTTTGGCAATTTCTTCATCTTGTAATGTTTCGTCTTCAGGAATTTCTGGATCAGGGGTCGTGTTTGATTGCCACCTGAATATGTGTTCGTGACCAGATTCAAAAAGTTTGTGAATTTTTTGGTCGGAACCCGATTTAGTCAACTCGACTGGGGCTTGCTTGCAGGCTCACTCACCTCTCCAGGGCCACGGCAGAAGATAGTCAGCAAACATGGTGGGCAAAGGCAGGCTAGCAATGGTGGCCAAGATGAGTTACTGGGTGGGGCAGGGCTAATGGGTGGGCAGGGCCAGGACCAGCCAGAGGTAGCATTTATCTGTTCTCTGAACTAGTTAAAATTATCCCTACTGGTTCACTCGAACCGGTCCGAACCAGCTGAATGCCACCTCTGATTAGAAAGCCCCGCCCCTCCCATGCCTGGGAGTTGAAGGGCAGAAGTGGAAACTTTCTGTGGGGGTAATAGGAGCCATGGTGGGGAAGTGATTAGAATGCAGTATTGCAGGCTGACTCTGCTCACTGCCAGGATTCGATCTGACTGCCTTAAGGTTGACTCAGCTTTCCACCCTTCCAAGATTGGTAATGAGGACCCAGATAGTTCAGAGCAATATGCTGATACAGCAAATTGCTTAGAGACTGCTGTAAAGCACAATGAAGTGGCATATAAATCTAAGTGCTATTGGTATTGCTAAGTGCTCCGTTACTCACTCTGCTTTGCCTCGTTTTCCCCCATTAGAAATGGCTGTTTGCAACACACACAGAGGGGATACTTTCCCCAGAGCTCACAATTCAAGAATATCAATGTGCCGTTTGCACATGAGGTATCTAAGAGTGGGGAAGGCCATGGGGGGCCTAGTGATAGAATAGGCCCTCAAGGGCCTATTCCAACCCACTAAGTTACCTCATGCTTCTCCCTCCTTTCCTGCCAAACGGACTCACTTTGCAAACATCTGCCTCCTTTCTGCTGCTGTTTCTTTGCCTTTGAGGAAGGAAGAGGAGAGGTGGCTTGGAAATGCTTTTCGTGCCGAGAATGGACATTCCTGGGTATCGCACAGGTTCAGGCACCCACCCTCTTTTGCAGAGTCAGGGACCCAGAAACTTTTATTCTTGGCGCAAAAATTGTTTCAGTGTCTCCCCTGAACTAATTTCCACCACCGCTGTGGAAGGATGGGTGCCTCCTCCCCAGCCAGCCAGCATCACCTGACCTACTTCCAGACGTAGCTTGACCAGACGGCTGGCGCAAAGCTTCACTATTCTCCTCCTTGTCTCAAGTAGCCATCTGAACATTAATGATCCCCACTCCCCAGCCAGCCAGCAGCCCATCCCCCCTGCCAGCCAGCAGAGTTCGCTGCACTGGGAAAGGAATGAGACCTCGTAGTTCCCTGGAGCCCACTGCCGCTTCAGCGGGGAGGAGGAGGAGGAGGAAGAGAAGAAGGGTGAGGCTTTGTGCCAGCCAGCTGGCCAGGCAAAGAGTAGGTCAGGCAGTGCTGGCTGGCTGGATCATGGCAATTCAGGTGGTTGCCACCACTAGCAGCTTGAGTGCCCCGACTGCATCCGAGCTGAAGAAAGTGAAGGCGCAGCAGTAGGCTTGCCTTCAAAGATCACTCAAAGTGCCCCATGTGCATGCAGATGGCCCCATGTGCATGCAACTGTGCTCCATGGGACAAGGTCTCATTCCTCTCCCAGTGCGGTGAACTCCAGCAGACTGGATGCGGGTGTGAAGGGCCTGGCCCCGCAATGCTTCCTCGCTCAGTTGAAGACTTTGTTTCTGCCCTCAGACTGTAAGGCTGGCTATAAAATCAGAATCGGCCGGGCGCAGGAACCAATGCTGTCCGTGGTCCAGGTGCGCTGCACACTTGCATGCGCCAGCCTTACTGTTTGAAGGCAGGAACAATGCCTTCAACTGAGTGAGGAAGCACTACGGGGCCAGGTCCTTCACACCTGCATCCAGCCCAATGGAGTTCGTCGCAACATTGTTGTCCTGTAGAGCCCGCCTCCGCTTAAGTGAGGAGGACAAGGAGAAGAACAGGAGTAGGTCAGGCAGGACTGACTGGTTTGGGAGGGGGGAATCATGGCTGCTCAAGTGGTTCCTACCGTCCCCGCTGCTGCTAACATATATATCATGTACGTGTATGTATACACACACACACACACACACACATATGTGTGTGTTTTCTTAAGTTTTCGCGGGTACTTACATGTATGGTATTCAGCTTTGTTCGGGTGTTTTCCCACGTCATTATAGTTGTGCTTTTAAAGTTGTAGCAACGTTTCGACAGAATCTCATCTGCCATCATCAGGCATATACCTGATGAAATACCTGAACAAAGCTGAATACCATACACACACACACACACATCTCACCCCCATCCCCACCCCCACCAGGGCAGCCACATCCCTTCACTAACATGCTTTCTACCTCCATTCGCCACGTCAGCATGCAGTGCAACTAAAATAATCCGTGGGACTATGGTAAAAAAAATATTTCAATCTTCCAACTTCTCACACACATAAAAAAAGATCTCGCAAGGTTGGAAGGTCTGAACATTTTTTCTTTTTACCGTAATCCCAAACTACTTTTGTTGCCTTGCACATGGTGATGGAGAACTGGGCCTGTGCCCATGAATGTCCACCAGGATGACGTGGGCTGATAAGTGATATGGGGCAGCCCCTTAGTTTCCAGAATGGCCACGTGGGCCACATCTGGCCTCATCATGGGCCAAATCTGGCCCGTAGACCTTGAGTTTGACACCCCTGCCTTAGAGATTGCCTGAATTTATTACAACCAACTTCCTTAGTAAAAAAAAAAACATTTTTCTTCAACCTAATGGAGTTAAGGGTCTTTCTTTCCTAAGGGACCGCATTGGGGCAGGTCTGACATATAGGTTATATCCCTTTAGGACAAAGTGGATCCTTCCAGTTGTATGACTTTATGACAGTGTTTAAACATATTTAAAAGTGTAACATAACATATATTACTTGAAACTGTTGTTTACCTTTCTCTTTCGCCTTTCCTCTTCATCAAGATGCTTTTCTTTCTCTTTCTCTGATTTTTTTTTCTTTTTCTTTTTCTTTTCCTTATGTCGCTCTCTCTCATGATCTGATCGGTCATCATAATAACTGGAATCATGTCCTGATCCTGAAAGTTCAGTCACTTCACTACCTCCAACTTTTAGCACCAATTTCAATGGCTTTTCCAAAGGTTTGTCCATATAATCTAATCAAATCAAATAACAGTAACAAAACATAAAATTTATATATATTTTTGCACTGCAACAAATCAGAATGAATTCTTCATATCTGCCTTCTCCAAAAGATCTTGAGTAGATATTTCTGCCTGAAGTAACCCTTGCAGAAAGATAATACGTAGATATGAGGCAACAGTCATGTATTCTTGATTTCACTAACTAATCAAGCATCCACACCATTACAATTCAGGTGATATATTTGTATTATGGAAACCATAATACAAATGGTTGAAAAAATGTTGCATATCAAGGAGGCTGTGTATTGAGACCAACTCTCTAATCAGAAAAATACTTTTTTTGTAAACTGTGTTTCAAATAACTTTACAATTTATTAGTTTCTGAAGAACACAGTCAAACTTCCAGGACACACAATACTATGTAATAGTTAAAAGACTGGAGAGACACAAATTTAAGTTCACTCATAGGCATAGAAACTCATTGGATATTTTTGGCTAAATTATAATTCAATCCTTCTCCAAAGTGTAAAATATTTTTGTGTTAATAATCATTTTCAGAAACAGATTTATATATGTAAACTAATATTCCCAATATCTACCATTTTCTTTTACAATTATTTTTTCTGTAACTTTCTAGTTTTATATGTTAATCCAGCAAGGAACGTATTACTATAGCATGTCTCAATTTATAATCCTTGATTGTTAGTTCTACTGACATTGTGTTATCCGGAAAGAGGTTCAGAAGGCTTTCTGTCAAATGAGATGGAGCTTTTCCAAGTCTATTATTCAGTAATCCCAAGTGAAACCTGCTCCCACCCCACTGGTCTTCTGCAAGGACCTGAAGATCTGGCTCTGGCAGTTGACTTGAGGCCCCAATGGGGGGATTATCATGGGTGGTAGGAGAAGTATCCTACCTCCCCACCTCCATATCCAGCTCCCTACCCTTTAACAATCATCTTTCTAAAAAATGTTAATTTTACTAACTTAGGGGGAGGATAGAAAGGCATCATACTCTGATTAGTGATTTCAGGAGAAATTCTTTTTATTATAAGAAGAGATAGAGGGATAATGAATGGGCAAAAGATATAAATATAATGATTTAATTAAGATGGATTAAATAAGATAGAATTGTGAAGAGTGATATGTGCTGCCCATGCAAAGAGAGGTAACTGGGGCCAAGGTACTTTACTAAAAGATTTTTTTTATGTTTGTTTGTGTTTGTTTGTGTTTTATGAGAATATTGGGGAAATTCCTGTAGAAAGACAGGAAAAGATTTAAATATGTAATGATTTGTTTGTTGTTGAAATTTTCAATAAAACTTGTTTAAAAAAAAAAATCATCTTTCTCTGACTGTAATGCTATTTTTATTGTTTTAAAAATAATTATAAAAACTTGATTAAGGGGCAAGATTGAACCACGAGGTCAAACATTATCAGAAAATATTTATTTAGTTTAAGTTTAAATATCTAAGACCAGAGGTACTGCATCCCAAAATACTGAAGAAACTAATAAATAGGCTTATAAATTATTTTTGAGTAATCAGAGAGAATTAGATGAGAACAAGTCTTCTCTGTACCATCATAAATAGGGAAAGGTCCATTAAAGTCAGTTGGATATTAATTTCTAGAAAAATATTAATCATATAAGAAGAGAAAATACATGGCAATTTTGATGGATTTCTTTAAAATGGAACTGGGCTAGACAACAAATGAATTGCATTACAAATAAAATTGATGAAACCAAGTTGAAAATAGATATCTCAATTCCTATTTTCATATTCATAAAATAACCTGGATCAGAAAAATATAATTGCTAATTTACAGATAATACAAAGGGAACCAACACTGCAATGCATCTGCAATAAATAAATAAATAAATAAATCCATTTCTATACTGCAAATAGGCTCTCAGGTGCAAGAAAAGTGATAATTCCTCTCTATTCTATATGGGTCAGACAGCATTTAGAATGTTGCGTTTAATTCTGGGCACTGATTTTAGGAAGGACACAAACTAGAATATGTGCAGAACAGAGCAACAAAGATGTTAAGAGGTTCAAAAGAAAAACAGATGGATATGTTTAGCCTGGAACAGAGAAAATTGTGTGGTGATATGACAGCTACCATCTTCAAGTGTTTGAACAGCTGTCACACAGAAGTCAAGGCAGAACTGTGGTGTTTTTTTACAAGTAATTTTTGAGGTAAGATTAACTAATCCATTTGTAAATGGTCCAAGGTTCCCAGTGAACTTGGGGAATCAAATGGATCCTAATAATTTTTTCCTGATTTAATCCTAAAGCTCTCTAATTTATATCATAGCACTCTGCTGAAATCCTTATCACTTCATAAATTGAGTATCTTCATACATTTTATCTTCATACAACATAAAAGGTGTCTGCACAAATAAGAACTATACAGGTGAAACTCAAAAAATTAGAATATCATGCAAAAGTTCATTTATTTCAGTAATGCAACTTAAAAGGTGAAACTAATATATGAGATAGATTCATTACATGCAAAGCAAGATAGTTCAAGCTGTGATTTGTCATAATTGTGATGATTATGGCTTACAGCTCATGAAAACCCCAAATCCACAATCTCAGAAAATTAGATTACATGCAATCAATAAAACAAGTATTGTACATAGAACAATATCAGACCTCTGAAAAGTATAAGCATGCATATGCACTCAATATTTGGTCTGGGCCCCTTTTGCAGCAATTACTGCCTCAATGCGGCCAGGCATGGAAGCTATCAGTCTGGGGCACTGCTGAGGTGTTATGGAAGACCAGGATGTTTCAATAGCGGCCTCCAGTTCTTCTGCATTGTTCGGTCTCATGTCTCTCATCTTTATCTTGGCAATGCCCCATAGATTCTCTATGGGGTTCACATCAGGCAAGTTTGCTGTCCAATCAAGCACAGTAATCCCACAGTCATTGAACCAGGTTTTGGTGCTTTGGGCAGTGTGGGCAGGTGCCAAGTCCTGCTGGAAAATGAAGTCAGCATCCCCATGAAGCTTGTCTGTGGAAGGAAGCATGAAGTGCTCCAAAATCTCCAGGTAGACGGCTGCGTTGATCCTGGACTTAATGAAGTACAGTGGACCAACACCAGCAGATGACATGGCTCCCCAAATCAACACAGACTGTGGAAACTTCACACTGGACTTCAAGCATCTTGCAGTGTGTGCCTCTCCAGTCTTCCTCCAGACTCTGGGTCCTTGGTTTCCAAATGAGATGCAAAAGTTGCTCTCATCAGAAAAGGGGACTTTGGACCACTGAGCAACAGACCAGGTCTGTTTTTCTTTAGCCCAGGTAAGACGCTTCTGACGTTGTTTGTTGTTCAGGAGCGGCTTGACAAGAGGAATGCGACATTTGAAGCCCATGTCCAGGATCCGTCTGTGTGTGGTGGCTCTTGATACACTGACTCCAGCCTCAGTCCACTCCTTGTGAAAGTCCCCAACACTTTTGAATGGCCTTTTCCTGACAATCCTCTCCAGGCTGTGGTCATCCCTGCTGCTTGTGCACCTTTTCCTTCCACACTTTTCCCTCCTACATAACTTTCTATTAATGTGCTTTGATACAGCACTTTGGGAACATCCAACTTCTTTTGCAATTACCTTTTGAGGCTTTCCCTCCTTATGGAGGGTGTCAATGATGGTTTTCTGCACAACTGTCAGGTCAGCGGTCTTTCCCATGATTGTGATTCCTACTGAACCAGACGGAGAGACCATTTAAAGGCTCAGGAACCCTTCGCAGGTGTTATGGCTTAATTAGCTGATTAGAGTGGGACACTTTGAGCCTAGAATATTGAACCTTTTCACAATATTCTAATTTTCTGAGATTGTGGATTTGGGGTTTTCATGTGCTATAAGCCATAATCATCTCAATTATGACACATCACGGCTTGAACTATCTTGCTTTGCATGTAATGAGTCTATCTCATATATTAGTTTCACCTTTTAAGTTGCATTACTGAAATAAATGAACTTTTGCACAATATTCTAATTTTTTGAATTTCACCTGTAAGTGCACAGTGATAGGATTGGTTAATATTGAAACAACATTAGATGATCTACTGCTGCAATGTCATCTAAGTTAGGGATGCCCCAATCATATAAATTACAGAAATAGGCAAGTGGCAAAGGGGTACTAGCCTTATTCAGTTCAGTTCAGATCCAACATCAAGATCGAACTGGAAGAAAACAATATCAGAGATGAACTCCTGAAAACCAGAGGAATTAAAAAAAAAATCAATCCAGTTCCTCTAAGGAGTCAATAAGGTCAGTACACTCTCAAATTTTACATACAATTGCAGAATTGGCAGTTTTATTTTAATATACTTCTGATTTACAGGCAAATTGAGCCTGCTATCACATATGTGAAACCTTACTTGACCAGAATCCAGACATTTACAGAAATAAATGGATTCCTCCCGAATAATGATAGACTACCGGGAAATAAAAATCCCCCCCCCCCCCGAAGTTCCATCACAGCCTGGGGAAATGGGACAAAGTCTCAGTGACAAAGGCGCGCAAATGGTGCGCCAAGCGAAACGCTTTTCCAGATGCTCGTATTGTGGATTTACTTTCCTCTTCCTACTCCCCACCCTCCTTCCTCTTCCACGATTGCCCATTTAACCTACCGTCGTAAGCACTGGCCCCAGTTCCAGTAGCAGTAACACTCGGGGCAGATGTTGATCTCCATTCCGCCTTATGCTTCTTATGTTTCTTCCCCATAACTATAATTAAATATTAAAACCCACTTTTCCCAGCCCACCTGGAACCCACACCTCCCTCTAATCTAAGGAACTCGGAAATGGGAGGAAGTGACGTAAGAAGCTAACACGGAAACACTTCTGATCTCAAGTCGGATCCTGGTTAATGAAGAAAGGAGCGCGGGAAATTTGTACAGGCGTAAGTAATTAAGCAACGTATGTTCCAGGTAGCAATTAGCTGTTGGGTACGTGGTCAAGAGTTTTGTTTTGTTTTTTAAATCTCGCCTTTTATGAAACGTATGGATTGAATGAGATTATGTAAATTATGGTTGTTCCACTTTTTAGGGCTTTGGATAATCACTTAAGAGGGAAGCGAAGACAACTTTTATCCTTCTTTTCTGAGTAGGTTGAGCGAATTCCTGCCAAAGAAAAACAAAACGGCCGCGGGATCCCACAAACCGATGTAATTCCAAGCCTTGTGGACGTGACTTTCGTTTTCTTGCATAAGGGAACTGAGAGACGATTGGCGAAAATAATGCTTTGTACAATACTTGAAAATTATTTTGTACTTTGGAAAACTGGGAATGGGCGGTAAATTCAGCCGCCTATTTGGGCTTTTTAAAAATGGTTTAGCAAAAGTCTTTTTGGCAGAAAGGAAAAATTAAATTGCTACAAAAATTTGCAATTTTGTCTTAAATTAAGAATGCAAGAAATTCTTACAGTTATTTAACATTCACTGATTTAAGATGGGGAGTTAAGCTCTTCAGTTGCCAGATTGCTAAATGTATAGGGAAACTATTTACTTCAGCTGAATTTGTTTCCACTCATTTTGAATAAATTAGGAGTGAGCAGCTATGGAGAGCTTAAGATATTTAGAGCTTCGGGAATGCAGGGGAACACTGTTATACAGTGGATGCTGTGAAGACTTGGCTATTCACAAAATGACAGATATAGAAGTAGCCAGTCTAGTTACCAGTAGCCTGAACAGGCAAAGGAAACAACAGAGATTTGGAAAGGAGGTCAGAGAAAGCAGGAAAGGACACAGTAATTGTTTAATTTTCTTGGCATCTGAAACAAAAATTGCAATTAAACAACAGCAAAAAAATGTTTTTAGGCTTGCATGCAATTAACAAAATTACTTTCAACCTTAAATAGCAAAACCACTTTAAATACATTAAATAAACACATTACCTCCTGCTGTACATAGATGAGCTGCAAAATTCCAAGCAATCATTAGATGGAGCAAAGAGATAAAGATTAAAACGAACTTTTTGTTGCCTGGGTTTTTGCAGCTCACATCTTGCCTAATGGGCAATCTAGAAATGTAAAATAAGTACATTAGCTAGCTTTCTCTTCAAGAACATCAATGATTTTCAAAACTGCTCAGTTAGCTTGCCAACAAGAAGCTGAAACTGCTCCCTATGTGTCCTGGAAAAGGACGATTTGGGGATTTAGGCTTTGCCTATTACTGATTCTACCCTGTTTCTCCAACAATATGGCCTCCCCCAATAGGAAGTCCCAACATGTTTTATAGGCATGAAATGAAATTAAGCCCCTCCCCCCAATTAAGGCCTATATTAAAACATGTGAAATGGGGGGGAATGGTGGGGGAGCTTGCCGTTAGGAAGTACTTTTGTTGCACACCCGGATATGGTGCTGCCTGCGTTGACCCCGATACGAAGTGCCCCACCAATGCCAAGGTCAACATCCAAGCCGTCGCCACCCGCCCACCCAAAGATGCAAGGGGGGGAATTAAGTCACCCCCGAAAAGACAGCCTAGCCATTTTTTCGGGGCTCAAAAAAAAATAAGACCCGGCCTTATTATATGAGAAACACGGTACCATATTTTCCCATGTTTTAATAATGGCAAAAGACAAGGGAAATGTGAATAAATCGGGAGCACAGGTAGTTTGTTACCAATCTAGAAAGTGATTTCATCCTAATGCTTGTAGTCTTCAACATACAACTGTTCCTGTAGTGATCAAAGTTACAACACTGAAAAAAATGACTTATGAACATTTTTCACACTTATGACCATTACAGCATTCCCCTGGTGATGTGATCAAAATTCAGACATCTAAGCAACTGATTCATATTTCTGATACCAGTAGTTACAGTGTCCCAAGGTCATGTGCAACCTTCTGACAAAGTCAAACTTAATCATGTTACTAATTTAACAATTGCAGTAATTCTCTAACTGTGGCAAGAAAGGTTGTAAAGTGGGGCAAAGGCCACTTAAATATCTCACTTAGCAAGAGAAATTTTGGGCTCAATAGTGGTTTTAAGTCAAGGACCAACTCTGTGTGTGTGTGTGTGTGTGTGTGTGTATGTATGTATATTAAGTTTTCGCGGGTACTTACATGTATGGTATTCAGCTTTGTTTGGGTTTTTTCCCACATCATTGTAGTTGTGCTTTTAAAGTTGTAGCAACAGACGAACACTATACAGAAGCCTGATGATGGCAGATGAGATTCTGCCGAAACCTTGCTACAACTTTAAAAGCACAACTACAATGATGTGGGAACACACACACACACACACACACACACACATACACATACAGTCACATGGAAACCTGACATAGCAACTTAATGCAAAAAGAATAGGAACTGCATGACTGAAACTTTCTATACTACTGTTCTAAGTGGTATAAAGGCAGTGTTTGGTTGCAAACTGGTATATTTTTATTGTTCCAGGGACATTTAAATTGCAAATAGACTTGGTTTAAATTTATTTTGATATCATTATTCAGAACTTAAATCTCTTTCAGCCAATGGCCAGATTGGAAATTCTGGAAAAATAATACAGGTGTGTCCATAAAAGAGTTGTCATAGAACCATTTTTGCTTTAATGTATCTGATAAATGAATCAGAAATGAAAACACAATAGAAACAGAAATTGGCTATTAATTTTTTAAAAAATACATTTTGAGTGATCAAATAAATTGTTTCTTGGCCTTTTTAAATGTATAACTATTCTCTAATTAGGTTTTTATAAAATGGATGAAGCAACAGGTGATTTAAAATTGCCTCTTCAAAATGACTGGGAATCCCTGCAGATACATGTGGAAGTTCATCAGAAATCAAACAGGTTGGTTTTGTATTGCAGTTTTTGTTCTCTATTGCAAAGTCTCCTACCATTTTTATCAAATGAATAACATGCTATAGATCAACGGTCACCAACCTTTCAGATCTTAGGAACCACTAAATTCATAATTTTAAATCCCGTGGACCATTAATATGAAATTTTGAAAAAGATAAATACATTTGTAGATTAATGGGCCTAGTGAAGAGGGTGGATGTGCTAGCACAGGCATCAGCCCTTCCCCGGTCACCTCATGACTGCTTGGCCCCTTAACTGTGGCCTGCAGATCAGCTGAGTCAATGAGGAATGGGAGATCTCTCCGGGTGCTTGGAGATGTTTCCGATGCACTCTTGCTAGCCCCAGCCCTCCCCACGGCACCAGGCAATCTTAAGCCAAGGACCGCTCTCTTCCTCATCTCACCCTGTGGCTCTGGAGCAGGTGACAACCACGGTTTGCGCTCCGCCAGGCTTGGTGCTTGGGTGTTGCTCAGGCTGCTGCTATGGGGCCATGGGGAAAGCCATGGGGCCCATTGGAATTGGCTCCCCCCCCTAACCCAGCTGCTACTGCTTGAGAAAAGAATGGTTGTTGGAAGCGGGTGCTTACAGTAGAAGTAAAGCACAGCCTGTCCCTTTCAAGCAATTAAATATCTCTGTGTGTGTGTGTGTGTGTGAGAGAGAGAGAGAGAGAGAGAGAGAAAGAGAGAGATGACGGAGGCGAGTAACAATGCTGTTTGAAAGAGTTCTCTGCCATCTCTCTCTCTCTCTCTCTCTCTCTCTCTCTCTCTCTCACACACACACACACACACACACACACACACACATTTAATGAGAAATGGCGGAAGGCAATCATGTAAGGGGACTGACCCTCCCCTGCCTTCAGTTTGGTGCCTGCTCAGGGTGGTGCACCAAGGCCAGGCCTCTGTGTGAGCGACCCCTGTCCGGCCAACTCAATAAATGGGCTTCCTTGCAGTGCCTCCAGTGAAGCCAGCTGGGCTCGACGACCCCCCCCCCACAAGTCCTGATCTCCAGCTCAGTGTTTTGTGCACACTCAGCTGGCCCGGCTAGTCCCCAAATCCCTACTGAGCAAACACGGGACTGGCGCTGGGCCATGAATCCCAGGTCGGTCAACCTGGGACTGGGGGGAGGGGGACCGGTGCCAGAGCTCTGAGCAGCGGCCAGTGCGGGCTCCATCTGCACGGCCATGAAGTGGGGTCAGCATGGCTGGTTCTTGCCCGCAGCATTAGAGTCAGAGGATAGAGTCAGAGCCGCTGCCACCGGCCAAGATCAGCAGGCCAGCTCGGTGAACCACTGATGCACTGCCACTGCCTGCTTCTGCTTTGCCTTTGCCAGGGCAGCGGGTGCTAGAGGGGTGCTGTCCTCGGCGGGCTAATCCCTGCCCACCGCTTGGTTTGGCAGATGGTGTCTGGCAGGCCCAGGTGCGGTGGGCAGGGAGGCTGCATGGCTCACTCGAGTTGCAAACAACCCGGGGATTTGGGTAGCCTTTACATGGGCGGGATGCCTGCAGGATCCCTGGCTTCCAAGGCCAGAAAGGCCCAGTGTTTGGGCTCAGGCACGCTCTTCTGGGCAGCAGCATAAAAAATATTTTAAAAATCAATATTTTTCCGCAGACCAAAAATTTCCGCAGATTTTTCCGGTGACAGCTGCTATATATAGATGGACAAATGATTACTTCTAAAAGATCAAGCCTTCATTTTATGTATAACATATTTAGAGAAGTAATACTGACAAATCAGTATTGCAATGGATAATAGGTACATTAAGCATATGAAACCATCCTCTACTAGGATAAGAGTTGAAAATTGTTTTAACTGTTTGCCAGGCCCTCTTTCTCAGTTTTTTTTTCATAATATGTTCTATGAATCTTCTGGTTTCACACCTCATGAATGGATTTCATGTGAGACAACAGACAGGAGCCCCCCCCCCCCCCGCCCCACCTCTTGAAAAGTTCACTCAAACACAGACAGACACATTAACAGCTGTTGTTCAAAAATACAGTAGAAAGCTTTTTCTTCTGTGGAAAAAATACTACAACCACTATTTTTCAGACTGATCTGGGATTTTTTTAATTAATAATTCCATGGCCCAAACAAAGTTTTAAAATCCTTTTCCTAATTCATCAGATAACGGAAACTACAAAGTATTAGCCTCCAGGGTAGTTTTCATTTAGAAGTTTACCTAGGGGCTCTCTGAGCATTCTTTAAACCTGTTGAGTACCAACCTGCCAAAGAAAAATACAAAATGATAACCATCCTGGAAAGTTGGGAGATGGAAGAGATAGTAATGCTTTTGGTAAATAGATACATGAGTGCTGACAGGAGATTCTTTGTGCTGTAAGATTTAGTAGTTCAATCATATTTAGATTTTTCTTTTTCGAAGTTCCTTTTAGTATTGGAATCATGTTAGAACATTGTCTTCAATTGAGGGTATTATAATCAGAACAGTGTCACTTATCAGTCAAGTATGCTTTGCATACCTTCCTCTGATAACATGATAGATTATATTTTGTGTCTCAGCTGGTTGAAATAAGTGGCATTCTATCTTTTCTTGGTTGTAATTGATTATGGTGAAGCTGATTATTATTTTCTATCTTTCTTATTTTAACCAGTACTGCAAAAAAAGAAGATATCAAACTAAGTGTCTTAAAGCTGTTGAAGAGGCACAATGTTATTTTTGGTGATTACAAATGGATTGAGTTTGATGATTGCTACCTAACAAATAATGTACAGTCAATTGCAATTGTGGATACAGAACTACAGCTGAAAGACAGACAGGTAATTTATTCTTTTGCTTATTTGCTTCTCCATAATTAGCTGTTAAAATGTTGCATATTTTAATATTAAAATTACTGAGAAGTTTTTAAAAATAAGAATAAAATAGTTATGCAATATCATGAGTTTTCATATGAGCATGCATCCATACAGCATTATATTATTTATATTTGACATTGGCTGCATATAAGCTCCCAATTGTAATTTAAGTTGCTAAAAGATGACACTAACTTGATGACACATAATCAGTTTCAACCTCTTAATGGTATAGAATAAAGTTAGTCGAGGAATCAAATTCTCCAATTATCTTCGTTGACCCATGAGATCCAACAAAGTGGGCATGCTTCAGGTTCTTTCTATGGTATGAAATAGTGTCAGCTGATAGAACCAAAAGCCTGCCTTAGCTCTTTTTTCATGCCTGGTCTGTGGAACAACATGGTCCTGGTCTTTTTGTTATTCTGTAAGTTCCTGAAAACCTGATTGTTTTCTTGTGCATTGGATCAGAATGCACAATGGGCCTATTTAGAAAAAGGTATTGCACGAGATATGCTTCGTTGGCTTCAATGAATTCTGCATTTGTTCTGTTACTCTTATTCTATTTTAAAAGTTTACTTATAAGTCATCCAGGAGTTACTTTTGGATGCCCACGGCTTCTCCTTAAGTCACTCCACTCCAGGTTTTCCTTGTGAGAAGGGATGGGGCAATCTTCTTCTAAATAACTTTACAGCTCTTCTCTGAGCTTGCTTATACTCCATTCTCCATGCCCTCCCAAATGGAGGAGACAGCTGTTCATCAGAGGGGATCTGCTGCCTATTAGCACCATTGCCTGCTCAGCAGCCGGTCCTCCACTGTCTGTGAAGGCAGGCAGCTTTCCATCTGGTCGAACACCTCCCTCAATACCTGAGCAGGAGCCTGGCCTCTCCAAACATGTCAAGGGAGACACGCCTTCCCTGTTGGACGTCCCAGTTCCAACCCCTTCTCCAAACCTGGCTCTGATTGGGCCATGACAATTACAACATATTTCTAGGTAAGCGTGGGTTTAATTGCACCTAACTTGTTTTCATCTTCTTCACTGCAGCCTATCAGCTTGAATAAGTGCAAACTTTTAATCCATATTTTTCATCTCAATGAGGAAGGGTCTACTACAGAAAATCTGGATGAGGAAGATGAGCATATTGTTGCAGCTAATCAATGGTTATTACCTACAGGTATTTCAAAAGACCCTAAGGATATAATTTGGTTATTTAAGTGGGCAAGATTTTGTTTAAATGTGGATTTATAAAAATAAGCATCAAACTGAACATCATTTTGAAATGATGAAGTATACAGCTTCCTGAAATTGGAAATGTTTCTGAGTCAACAAAATGTATTCTAGTAGACATAATAATTTAAAAAAAAAATTCAAATTCCAGTGGGAAAATAAAGCATGAAATGAGGAGTGTTCATGTTAAAATTCCTGAAACCTAGGAAGTTGTTTTTTAACAGTTGGCTTATATCTGAGTTACCCAAGCTTTTCAGCCTTGGGAACTGGCAGGCGGGGGGGGGGGGGGGGGGGGGAGAGAGGTGATAGGTTCTTTATGCATGGAGGACAAGCACATGCACAGCTTTATTTGTGTGTGCACCTGCTGCTCACACAAATGGAGCGCATGCACCCACTGCTTGCGCAGACGTGATGTGCATATCAGCCATTTCCATGGCCTGATTGTGAAGGGCTCAAAGCCCAGTAGTGGGCTACAGCCTGGGGGATGAGGACCCTTGGCTTATACCTCATGAATTGTGTAGGCAAAGGTAATCATATCAAGAATGGTGTTATTTGTTCAGAAATACATGTTCTTAGCTTTAGACTTTAAAGAAAGATAATAAATATTCCATAAAGATACATACTATTTTTGGTTTCATTTTTACTTTGAAGCCATGATCTTTCATTTTCTCAAACCTTTCTTTTCAGCTAATTGGGAGTTTTCTGACTGGCCAGTATAGCAATATGGGCAAAATACTCAGTCCCTCATTATTATAGTCACTATAGTAACTGCTTCAAAAATCCCAAGGTTTCTGTTGCCAACTATACTGTTTTTAATAGTTTGCCCTTTTCTCTTTAAAATAATATACAATTTTTGCTTTAACAGTTGAGTTTCATCGTCTATGGGAAAGCCTAATTTATGATGCTGAAATAAAATCGGATGTAAGTTGCATTTTAATCGAGTTTTGAAATGGTTGATTATGTTTGAAACAATGTAATTTATAATTTATCAGATTGACAAAGTCAATGTGACTAGGTCTGTAGAGATTCTCAATCATTCAGGTCACGGTTGCCCCAAAGGTGCTTTTACCAAAAGGCAACTGGACTTGGATTTTTTTCTTTGAAAGCATTTTGATTCTCCTCCAAGAAGAAGATTCTTCAGTTCTAACTTTAATTGATCCAGATTGGGTCAATCTGATTATGTCAAATTTTCTTCATTCAAAAAGATGTCTTTTTTGCAATGATTTTACAGGATTATTATTACATTATTAATTATAGGAATTTCCCATTGATAACAAATATTGTTTTAATAACTGTTTACTTAAAGTACACTGTGTTTCTTGGCATTTATTTATGTCATTGAAGAATTTGGTGCTTCCTGATCTTGGCAAAATTAAAATGGCATTACAGGAGTACTAAAAATAGAGTGGAATTCATGGTAAGGATCAGATAACTGAAAATAAGACTCGATGCATCCTGTGAAGTGCAGTCTAGTTTACAAAAATATATATTACAATACTTAAGTGTCAAAAGCTAGTTTTATAGGCTAGTCATATCATTTGAAAGAAGAAAGTTTGAAAAACATTTCCCCTTAATTAGAATTTGCAACAAGTGATTGAGAGTGTGAAGTTGAGATAATTGTATATAATTTTAAGATTGCTTTGCTTTTGTTTTCTTTAATTAGAGTTAAGTAAGATAGAAGTTTTTTTCTGACATCAGAAATGAAATTTCTTTCATCGCCGACTTGAACACGTTTGGCTGATAGGAGCATATATAAACTTATGTATTACAAGTATACAAAGAGGTCATTTTCAAAACAAATCAAAGCTTGATTTCATAGCCAATTTCCAGGCCTGTTATATTACTTTCTCTTGGGTTTTTTAGTTTTAACTCCCCCTTTAGTTCATGCTTAAGCCATATCTTATGTATGGATATGTTGAATAATTCACTCCTAAAATCAGATCACCTTCACTCAGATCTATTGTATGCTCCTGCTTTCTCTTAGTTTCACAACATAACAATCCTCTTTTCCATCCACAATCCATTATAATCTTAAACAAGTGAATTTTTCATGTAATACAGCAAGAAAGACAGAAAGAAAATGATAATTTTCTACTTAATGCCTTAAGTTAAAGTTACTATCCCTAATGGCATATCACAAGTTAGTTGTACTTGTGATAGAGCGTTAAAGGAAATTTTTTTTCTTCTTTTATTGGCTCCTTTCATATATTTTGGAAATGTTTGTGCATACATTACTTTTCAATGAGTGAACAATAGGTTTCTTTTCTGAACAGAATCTCATGTAACATTTGTACAAATACAGTACTGAATTTTAAAAAGTTAAATTATCTAATTTAAGATTATGTATTATAATTTCTCCAGTCTTGAATCCTGAAGAAATAGGCATTTAAAAATGAGGATATTGAGAAATTCTAGGTATTTCCAAGAAAGATATAATTCATAAATGGGTACGCTATTTCATTCCCAAATTCTATCTGCTTTGATATAATTTGACTTGTTCCCCAAATTTTACGTTTATATGTGTGTAAAATGCCATAAAATTATATCAGCAGCTACAATTTTGTCAAAGGCTTTTTCAGTTTGATGATAAAATTACAAGTTGATCTTGTTTTTATTCAAGTCTGTTAAATCTGCAACAAACCTAACATTTAATACTTTTATTATAATGTCAATAATTTTCTTATGCCTTAATATCATTGGATTGATTTGCTTTTCACATTGATGAAAATAATTTAATAAAATGTTCAGTTTTGTACTAATATGCTACTGTCTACTTTATTCTTTAATTAGTTATTAAATTATGTGACCACAACATTACTATTCTCTGACCGAAATGTTGATAACAACTTGATATCATGGAACAGAGTTATTCTACTACATGGTAACTATAATCTTTTTAATTAAAAAGCAATGCAGCTAAAATACTTCAGTGTAATGCTTAACTTGTAGCATTTTGTAAGACTGAGAATGTTTCTCTTCAGTGGTTTAAATAATTTGTAGAATAATTCTGTAAGAAAATCTGTATTATTTCTTCTATCCTGTACTACAATGGAAACTGAAAGATGAAGCAAAACATAGTCCCAATTACTACTTTGCACTGTATTTTCGTGTACTGAACTACTTTGTATGACTTGTCACTATTGTGATACTGCCATAATTCAGTAGCAAATGCTGTCAGATGATGTGCCAGGAAATATGCTGAATAAACATTCAATCGTATTCTTTATATTTAATAGTATTCTATATTTTGATTGTAGGTCCTCCTGGAACTGGTAAAACTTCTCTTTGTAGAGCAATGGCCCAGAAGTTGACTATTAGACTTTCACATAGGTAACTTTATGTAATGTTTTCTATATTTGAAGTCAAAATAGCATCTAATTTACAAGCTAGCATTTCAATATTAATTTGCAAAGGTTGAATATTATTGTATGTACGTTCTTTTAATCTGGAGCTTTCCCATTTGGACATCCTATAATCCCTGTTGTGCAACCGCTGCTTCCACAACATTGTAAACATCTAATTGAAAACAAAAAGTATTTGTGTATTTCAGAGCAATATAAATGAAACATCATGACCTGTAATAACTTTGAAATTGATAATTCCTTTGACACTGGTTATTTTTCCTTATTTAATAATAGTTATTTCAGGTTGTAAAACTAACAAAGTTGACCCTGTTTCAGCTTCATTTGTTTTAGTTAATTCTAACAAAATGATAAATGATCAACTTCGTTTCAATCATTGTTCTATGCATAATTCTAAGATTCTAGGGAAAAGTATTATCTGGTCTAATGCTTTATGAAGACATGACAGGAATAATAATCTTTAAGGGTAAATTTTAATTGAACTTTTAGATACTGCCATGGACAGTTGGTAGAGATAAATAGCCACAGCCTCTTTTCTAAGTGGTTCTCGGAGGTATGTATTTATATATATATTTTTCAGGTGTTTAAATTTGTGATTTCTGGAATATGTTGAATTGCTAGGGAATTTAATACTCTATCTTGCTAGTTTTTGGTGTTAATAAATTATCATATCTCAGTATAATGAACCTGTGTAATGAAAGGACAAGTCCTATTCATTCCAGAATCTGCCACACATTGGAAAAGTAGGCAAGGAAAAGCTGACTCAGTCCGGAAGGCTACTTAACACCGATCAATCAAACGGGGTTTCCATACTTTTGCACTCCAAATAGGATATGCCTAATAATGGAGGGAAAGAGCAGGGAGTAGTTCATACCCTTCCTTAGGGCTAAAGAGAAGAAAAATTTTGTTGTTTTGGAATCCTAATCTCAAGAGGGGCAAGTAGAGAGGTTTTTTTGCTGGAGCAAAACCAAAAAAGCCCCCTCCAGAAATAAAGGTGAAAGAGATTGGGGGGAAAAGCTGATATGAGAGAGATAATGGGTTTGAGGGAGATTCTGAAGAGAGAGCTCTCTAAGTGAAACAAATAAAGATTGTTGTGTAATAAATCTTGATGGAAGAGTAGAGAAAGACTGGAACGGAATTTGATGTAAATTATTCTTTATTGCAGAAATCTATTTGCTCCAACTTATAGGTTCACCATAACCCTTTTATAGGCCTGCTTAATTATTTCTTGTAAGTTTTGTAAATAAATGTTATTGATCTTAAATAAAGCAAAATCATTCTTATCTTTTTTCAACACTTTAATCTTTGATCCTCAGGTTCCATCCACCAAATCTGTGAAATTTATTACAATTTGTGGTTACATCAAGTCTTGAACATTTTGTGCCATTTTACATTTTTTAAAACCATAGATGGTATACACACATCTCAAACCTATTAGGAAGTGATGTTACAGAGGTTTTTTTTCCATTTTTTCCCATTCTTATCCATTTTATTATTATTTTAAATATATTTGCATGTCATTGAAAAGCAATTCTTGGCAGGCACATACAAATGTTACATAAAACAACCCCCATATAAACATTTAAAAATACAACAATGCAGCAAAAATAAAGAATAAAAGGGGGCAAAATTAACAAACTAAAAGAAAACATTATCCTCAATAATATCATAACATTCATAGTAGTATGACAGATCAATTCAGACTTGTTACCACAATTTAGATGGTAAAATTAGAAAGTATTATGAAACCTTTCCCATAGCAGGATGTGGAGCTAAGTCTGGGGAGCAGAAAGCGAATTTGAGACTTCCTATCTTTCACAGTAATCTTAATATATCTGCATAATACTAATGGCCTATAGAATAGTGAAAAATTAAGCATTATTTTGCCAAATGGTGGCAAACTCTTCATATAAGTAGGTCTTGTTTTATTTAAATTTCATTCAAATAGGCCTTTTGTTATATTTTATTGTTCTCCCCATTTTATTGGTTGGTTGGAGTTGTTCTTTATTTCTCCAGCAGCAGTCTTTAGTGTTCATCTTGGAAAGTTCCTCTGAAAACTGAGGCCTTCCACGGAGCTCTTATAAGTGTGATTCAAGGGTATTATGACTGGATCATTACAGGCTGTGATTAAGCCTTAGTCAGGCTATTCAATAGTTTCAGGAACAACCCCAAGTTTCCTCCAGAATATAAAGGTCAAACACCTTTCTTCCCTGCAGGGAAATTAGTTGCAGTATTTGTAATAATCTTTTTCAATGAATTCCCTTAAAGGGAAGCTGGAATTCTAATTATAGAATTAAAAGGTGTACTAAATCTGTCCTCCTGCTCCTTACAAGAATCCAGACCAAAACATTTTCAACACATAGTATCTGGCCCTTTTTGAATACATTTATTTATATATCATATTTAGAAATTTCCCATCACTCATAGAGCAACATACATTCAATGAAAGGAGACATTTCTGAGTCCAATGTTGAAGTGCTCTTACGATTTTTCCGTTTATTATGCAAGTAAAACAACTTACTACTGTTTATATATCTACATATCTATCTGACATCTTATGAAGTATTAACAGCCTGATTAACTTTACTCTTTGAAATTGTTACAGTCAACCATTTATTGATTAACAGCAAAAGGAATGGGATTTCACAATAGTATATTCTGAAATGTCTGTTCATTGATTTTAGAGTAAAATATTTTTATTTTATATTTTAGGCTTCAAAGGGTTTTGGCTACAGGCTAGTAAAAATAGTACTATATGAAGAGCCTGAATAGCTGTTTTGAGTATCCTTTCTCATAAATTTCCCAGTGCTTATAACTGACTTCAAATATAACAGAGATTCTTATGTATGTTTTTTTTCTTGCTTTCTACCATATGATCTGTAATATTAATTTCAATGGTGGCATTACAAAAAGGCACACTATTTCCCAAAAAAGAATAAACCAGCAAAAATCAACAACACAACTCAGTCTTATTCCAAGTCAACATATTACTTTTTTCTGAAACCAGATCAAGTAGATATACAATATTTAGAATTGTTGTCACAGTGCAGTTTATGTGTCAAGAAATAGTTGTTAGGAGAGTGTTAGGAGTAGGCATGCTCCATTTAGGTCTAGTCTAGCTATTCTACAATTTTGTTTCTCCTTTTGCATCCTATAATTTTGTGATCGCTAAAATACAGAATCCTGCATATTACTTCTACTTCTGAGGGAATTTCCACTTGTCTCTTCTTTGGGGTAACAGTCATAGTTAAGATTCTATATGCGAAATGTATTGTTTCAGCCATGCAGAATATGTCAGCAGCAAGTATACAACCATGTTGCCTTGAGAATAAACAATAATCAGATTAATAATCAGTTAAACTGTAATTCTATAGGGAAAAAATATGTTATCAATTTATATACTACTATTTTTTAGAGCGGCAAACTTGTTACAAAAATGTTTCAGAAGATTCAAGAATTAATTGATGACAAAGATGCCCTTGTATTTGTACTTATTGATGAGGTATGATTACACTAGTATTTCAATATTATAAATTGTTTGCACTAGAGAGTGGGATGTGATAGGATTAGAAGGGATGCATTTTTTCCATCCAGTTCCTGTTTAAGATCATTAACAAGAATAATCAATGCCCTTTTCATCACATGCCTAGATCTGAGTCTAGCCTAAAAGCAGTCTAGATAATACCACTGTATCTTTAAGGGAACTCTGTTGCTGTCTAAGAAAGAAAAGGTAGTGGTCTTAAATCCAACAAGAATTTCTTAAATGCCTATCACTTCCTCTTTAGAATAGCAACATTCTGGCACTCAACGAACCATTGACAATCTTCCAGAGCCAGGCTGTCACATTCCCCCAAGTAACCCAGATCTAAGAGAAGCGTGAGATGAAAATCATATATGGCAGAGATTGAGCTTCTAAAGAAATACGGCTTTAATTACAGTCTAGCTTAAACATCAGGTGTGCAGGCTAGGATTTATCTCTAGTGCAAACATTGTTGCAGAGCCATGTAACATCAATGACAAAAAGTTTTTGATCGGGTTTACTGATAAACCAACAGTATCTTCTCCCTGAAAGAAAGAGAGGTGGTTTCAGGGATTCATATACTAGTAAACTTAAGCTTATAGAGAAAGTGTTAGCCATTTTCCTCTCTACATCCATCTGTGTTGGGCTTTTTTCTTTTTATTCAGCGATGGCTGGATTTTATAAGTTTATGTCCCTAGTCAGAGTACAAATTTACAAAACATGGAATTACTGATCACAAAAGTTGATCATTTAACAACAAAAGTATGACATAACAGTTTTCTGGGATAAGGAGAAAGTTATTAGTATTAGTAATGATATTAGTAATGATAGATTGAATGGATGTGATTTACCATTTCTATTTTATGGCTGCTCATTTACAGGTTTGAAAATAGTTCACTGCCACAATTTTCAAATTTGGACTTGGCATACAAACACCAGGGAAATACAATAACTCCAAAAACAGAATGCTTTCTATGTGACTGATAAATATCAAGATATAAATTAATTACAAGGAAAAGTTTGCTTTGTTCTTTATAAAGCTTCCCGAACTTAAAAATCTTGGGAGAGAACATTTTTTAGTTTTGACATTTGATGGGATCTCAAAATCTCTTTTCTATTTGTTTCATTTTTTTAAATTTTACTTTATTTTAAACAATTATATAGTTGTCCAACTCCATCAAAGTAATTCTGGGCAAAAAATAAACTCAGCAAAACCACTTGGAGGCCAAGGTTTTTTTCCTGCTGAATTTTCAGGCAGCAAAGATTTTTTGTTTATAAAGCTCTGTGTTAAATGTTCATTGTCTTTAATTACAGTAATATATCTTAAATGTTTTTCCCTATCCTGAGGTAGAAATAATAGAAATGGCACACTGTTTAAGAGGTCAGGCAGAATTCTCATTTTTAAATTAATTTTTAATTTTTAAATTAATTTTAATTTAATTTTTTTAAATTTTAATTTAAATCCTAAAAATATGTATGAGGTAGCAACCTTTTTTTTCATTTGCAGGTGGAAAGTCTCACAGCTGCTCGTAGTGCTTTTCATGCAGGTACTGAACCTTCTGATGCCATCCGTGTTGTAAATGCTGTACTGACACAAATTGATCAGATCAAAAGGTAATCATTCATCATTACCATTTATTAAAAAAGATTAAAAATAAAATAGGACTATCTGGAACCAAGAAAAGATTACTCCTTTACTTTCATATAAACTTTTTTTGGGGAAAAGCAATTAAATATATTTTATATATATAATTATTAATTACATATTTTTCAGACTATAAGATGCTCCGAACTACACCTAGCTTTTGGGTGGGAAAAAATCTTCCTCAGCCTCCAAGCAATTTGCCTTCTTGCAGCAAACAGCCTGGTCAGCTTCAGCACAACCTGATTTAGCATAAGCAGCTGATTGTTGATTGGATCTGCCTCCTGGAATACTAATGATCAGCTGTTCCAGTCTGCAGGGATCGCCTATTGCCGCCTCCCTACGCCCTATTTTCTGCCTTTGCGCGCTCCATAGGATGCCTTGAGGTCAAAAACAGGGCGCACACAGGCTGAAAATGGGTACACAGAGATGGTAATGGGCAATGGTGATCCCTGCAGATTGGAACAGCTGATCATAGGTATTCCGGGAGGCAGTTCCAACCAACAATCAGCTGCTTGTGCTAAATCAGGCTGTGCTGAAGCTGACCAGGCTGTTTGCTGTTTGATGCAAGGAAGCAAATTGCTGGGAGGCAGAGGCCAAAAACAAGTTACAACAGTAACACAAGACAAGTTTTCATTCCTCAGGAAAGTGTTTGAGTATATAAGACTTCTCACTGTTCCTACGGAAAAAAAATACTACTCAGTTATGGATCAAATGAGGTTTGACAATTTTAAACAAAATTAGTAGTTTTGTTTGATATAATTAGGATAATTATATCATTATTTTTAATTAATTATATAATTATCCTAATTTTATCAAACAAAACTACTAATTTTCAGAGTTGATTTAAAGTTGTCAAACCTCATTTGATCCATAATTGAGCAGTAATTTGTTTCCATAGAACAGTGAGAAGTCTTATATACTCAAAGTTTCCTGAGGAATTAAAACTTGTCTCATGTTAAAAAAATTCTGTGTTCAGAATGGCTGCAAAAGTTGATAGAGTTAGCAGAGATGGCAAAATTGACTGCTGATTAGAGAAAGGAACCCGATTTTGTTTCTACTTGGAAACTGCTTTTGGACTTTGAATAAAACTTTGATTTTGGGTTTTGCTGATTAGATTTGTTATAAAAATGGCTATAGTAAAGTATTATATAAAAGTAAAAAGTTGAGGTTTTATGTTACTCCCTTATTCTACTGCATCAAACGGAGTCAGAAGTCAGTTTCTTTTTCTTTTCCCTCTTACCCTACACTTTTTTTCTCTTCCCCTTTTCCTCATTTTTCCCTTATTTTCATTTTTTTTTGTACTTCTGTGTTTTATATTTTGATGAACTAATATTTAAATCAGAAAAATTTCTGTATTCCTTAAATATATGAAGTGACATTATTGCAATTGTGATTTTAAAGGTATCCTAATGTGGTTATAATGACGACTTCAAATATCACAGAGAAAATTGATATTGCTTTTATAGATAGAGCTGATATTAAACAATATATCGGGCCACCTTCTCCTGCAGCTATATTCAAAATCTATCATTCTTGCATAGAAGAACTAATGAAGGTAATTTCAATATTCTTAAAATTCTTAAAGTATAATTAACAGATAATCAGAGTTGGAAGGGACCTTATAGGTTATCTAATCCAACTGCCCAAGCGGAAGACCCTACACCGTTTCTGACAAATGGCAGTTCTTATCCTTGAAGATATTACATTTAAATTATTTTTACTTTTATTCTTGCTAATGAAGTTTTTCTGTGTATTTAACTTGCACAAGGAAGCAATGCCTATTTATTTTTAATAACTTATTTGTTTTGAATAGTATCTTTATATTTATTGCATTGGTGGTTAACGCTTTTTAAATGACTGATTTTTAGTTTTATATTCATTTTTTGTAAATGAAAACTTTTTTTTCCTAAGTGCCAAATAATATATCCCCGTCAGCAACTGTTAACACTCCATGAACTAGAGATGATTGGTTACTTAGAAAACGACGTGTCAAAATTAAGTCTCCTGTTAAAAGATATTTCAAGGTACATATCAGTGCTTAATTTTAGGTGACTTTTTGTTTTATACTTTGATGATCGTTCCATAAGATCAAGCACTGTTTTCAGAATCAAATAGCCAAGACCTCACATTCTAGATAGTACCAAATCTGACCTAGAAACCTATGTCTTTGCTATATAGAGGGAGTTAGTAAATGTAAATCTGGGAGAAGCCCAAGTCAGAGGGTGTGCCTGGCACACTGGTAGGGAACTGCCTGAAACAAATAACATTCTATTTGGCTAGATTTAGCTTCATTTCATTCAGACCATAACAGCCCCCAAGCACTGGGTCAACTCTTCCACTGTAGGTCCAACATGACTGGAGTAGAGACGGAAAGCTGTATTTCAGTGTCTACTTGTAGGTCTGGAGCCAGATAGTACTTGGGAAGAATTTTTTCAAAAACTAAGAACAACTCTGTGCTCAACAAATGGGTCTTTGTGATGATATCAATAAAAGTTCTCTTTCTACAGGTATTAATAACAAATTCATGAGACAACGATCTCTTAGATACTCCTCCCCCAGCTATTAAAAAGCAATTGAAAAACTGACACATTTTACAATATTTAGCTATTTGTATGCTAGGGGATGCCTTTGAATCTGTCTGAGATTCCTGGCAACTGTCTGGACTAGTTTTTGCAGGGAGTTTTTTTAATGACATTTTGCAGAAGTGGTTTGATATTGCCCCCTTCTTAGGGTTGAGAGAGAGTGAGTCACCCAAAGTCACCTAGCTGGTTTTGAAAGTACAGAATAGTGTCAGTGAATCCTAGTTAACACATCTGATTTTTCAGAATATAACTTTTCTAGACCAGGTTGAATGAGCAATACTTTTAACTGATCAACAGCACATTCATATTTTCAGGATTTATCTCAGGTTGCCCATCTCATCTAGATTGTAATCAAATTTGGATAAGATTCTTAGGCATCAATATTTTTATTTGTCTTAATGAGAAGGAGTAATAGAATTGAATGTAATATTGTACTTAATTTTAATACTCTAAATGAATCCCAGAAAGTCTCAAGAAGTCTATTTTGGAACAAAATTACAAATGGTTTACATTTTTTACTTTAGGGAACAATGGGAATAAAACCTAATGCTTTATATCTTTTTCCTCTAGATATATAAAATTATTTGAGGACTAGTCTGTCCTTGCTGCCTTTTTCCATTCTGTAAAGAATGCTTTGTTGCTATTAACAGCAGAAAAATACTGTTCTCATCTCTGGCTATCGCTTGAAATCTCTTCGAAATGTATATTGCATAAGTGTACTTCTGCATTCTCAGGTCAACTTCCCAGCAAAACTTAGAACACCAAAAAGTAATACATTTACATTCAGTACTCTGAAATGCACACTGACAGTTCATTTTTGTTCAAAATGAAAAGGCAATACCTCTGCAACAAGAAGAAACATCTAGTATTTCTGAAGGACAAATTTAATTCCTGGAGCATTTATTTACAACATCCACTGGTTTGAACTACTTAAATTTTTGGAGTTCACAACCTAGTAGAATTTATTTTAAAAGCTAAGAAATTGAAGAAGATATTTAAAATAAGTTACTTTAAAAGCTGAGTAATTTAAATTATAAGGGATTATACTGGAACTTTTGTAATTGAAACAGGGTATTTCAAATTAAGAATGCTTTGGAAAAGTCGGGAATATTTTGTATATCATAACAAAGCTAGATTACACAAATGTGTTAAGATTGCAAAATCATTACCGTTGTATAAACAGTATATTTTGCTGGCCCTAATAGGTTTCTTGTTACTTGTTCTTTTGGTCTGCAACTTACTTGGCGAATGCCAGAAATGTTTTGTAAAAAAACAAATAGCAGGTTCAAAAACCAATAATCCAAACCTGGGGCACTTAAAATAATACGAAAATATTTCTATAAACCACAAAATATATCCTCAAAATTTGTTTTGAGATTGGAACCTTTATTCCTAGCTCAAGAAGTTGTGAGATTAATTTGCACAACTTTTATTTTGTTTTTAGTAGTATTATGTAGGTATATACTTAAATAATGTGTAATCTGATAGAAAGTAAATTCAGTCAGATTAAATCCCACTTCTAATATTTAATACAATCCAAAAATATTACCATCGAGCAAATAAGGTCCACCATCCAATAGCATATTGGTTCAATATGGATTATGTTGTGAAATTTATTCCAGTTTCCTTATATGTTCATATTGACAAAAATCAAACCTAATGCATATTTCTGCTTATAGGAAAAGTCAAGGACTTAGCGGTCGTATCTTAAGAAAACTTCCTTTTCTAGCCCATGCACTGTATATTCAAGTAAGATGATGTTATTTTATAAAATTCATAAAATACATAAATAGTCCTATGTGTGCGCTTGATTTTTACTCAGTGATAACTGTAATTATAGTGGCTCTTTCCTGCCTTCCGTTGCTTTGGAGAATAAACTAACCCTCTTCCCTGTGACACCCTTTAAGTATTGGAAGACAATTATCATGTCACCCTTAAGCCTTTCCTTTGTTAGTCTAAACCAGCAGTTCCCAACTTTTCGAGCTTGGTGGAATGGGGGGGGGGGGAGATGGGAGAGTTCTGTGAGTGAGGCAGACATGCGAGCGCATCCGGCCCCATTTGCATAAGTAGCAGGCATGTGCATCCATTGCTTGCACAAGTGGACCTTTTTGAGTACGAGCACCTACCTCTCGCACATGTGGATTGGCATGGGCGTATATGCCCGCTTTATGGCCCAGTTTCGAGCAGGCCACAGCCCAGTAGTGGGTCAGAGATTGGGATTCCCGGACTAAATATATCTAGTTCCCTTAGTCATTGTTGAAGAGCACTGGGCCCAAGGCAGAACTCTGAGGACTGCTTGCTTCATAATGCTGCAGAAATGCCATTAGAAATGTTCTGTTTCCATGAAATTTATACATTTATGTAATGCCTGAAATATTTCATAGAGTGTGTTAAATAACTCTTCAATTCTTTTTATATAGTGAATTTACAGCTTTTATTCTGGCACTTAACATTTTTATTTTTCCTTCTAGTCTCCTAATGTTATAATGAGAACTTTCCTTCAAGCTTTATCACTTGCAGTGGACAAACAATTTGAAGAACGAGCAAAGCTTTCAGAGTCTAATTGATAGTCTCATTCCTACTCTGTTTTGTGGTAATTTTCTTTACGTACATTTTACTTTGTTTTTCTATCTGCCTACTGAGATTGCTAATTAAGAACCATGCATCCTTAATCTGAAGATCAGTTCAGACTTTTTTTTCAATTATTGCATATATAATAAATTACTTCTATATATTCAAAGGTTTTGTTTTGTTTGGGTCATCAAGATGCCATGTACTGTTAGGGAAAGTCATTTAAAAGCAATTCCAAGAAGTTGTTATTCCCAATAATTTTGACACATTCTTGGAGTTGGAATGCCTATGATTTATATCATTTTATGTTGATTCTCTGAACTAGACGACTACCTTTTATATCTCTTGAAAAATATAATACTGTGTGTAGTGAAAATCTTATCTTATAGTACATTAAGACCAACTAGGAAATCATTAATGATAAATAAGAATCATTTTTGTGTGTTTGTTTCACTTCTCATCCAAGAAGCTTATTCTACCCTAAACTGAAGAAGCTTTTTGGATGAGAAATAAAAAGTTTTCAAAGAAAAAAGAACAAGTTCAGTTGCCTTTTGGAGAAAGGATCTTTGGGATATGCTAACTAAAGTTTCTGTCCGATTAAAAATACACAGAAAACTACATGTTGACTAAGAAGAGATTTTTTTTTGGTATAATATATGCATGAGTTCAAGCCAGACCAATCCTAAAAAGAAACCATCTCACAGAATATCTGTTATTTCACTTTTTACTTACAATTTAATATGTATATTTAATTCGATTCTAATAGGTAAAAAGTACATTAACCAAATATAATTGGCAACGCCCTAAAAATAAAACAAATTAATACAAGTTTGAAGTCTTAACCACATCTGAGCTGAGGTTTCAAATAGACCAGGAGTCAAACTCAAGGCCCGCGGGCTGGATTTGGCTCATAATGTGGCTAAATCTGGCCCAGAGGGCTGCCCTTGAGACAGCAAAGGACCAGCCCCAGTGCTTCATCCCTGACTCATGCTGTCCAGGCACCAATCTATAACTTGATGGCTATCATCAGGGCTGCAACAGGGTCAGCCTTGTATCCATGGAGCCAGTGAGAAACCGTTGTGCTACCTCAGCTCCACCCCATGGCGCTCGACGCCTCCTGTGCTCATTCCCAGGGGGCAGGGGAGAGGCAATGGGGGTGGCTCCAGAGCGGTCCCGTGGATCTAAGGCTCACCATGTTTCAGGCCGGATGACTGCCATCCAGTTATAGATCAGTGCTGCGCCATCAGCACCTCCATGACCTGCTTGCTAGCCCGGTCTTCCCTTTCACTGGAACCACCCCTGCCCTGCTCCACGTGGGAAAGTCATAGCTGCGGTAAGCATGGCCACCAGCAGTACTGCCAATCTCTCCCCCTCCCGCCGTCCCTTTCTGAGTGTGGAGGACCGAAATGGGAAGAAGGGAGGCAGGAAAAGAAGTGGGGAGGGAGGAAGATGAGAAGGAACGAGGAAAAGCAAGTGTTTTGGGGGGGAGGGGGAAACAGCAAAAGCAGTATTCCTTGGCTGGGAAGCGGGCAAAGGCAGAAAGCGAACGTCAGTCTCAGACCCTGCAAATCAGTTCCTGCCATTCACAGGGAAGGAAAAAAAAGGAGAGCCAAAAGCTAAATCCCCAAGGCTGACATCACTTCGGTTGGCAGTTGATCTCACCCGCTGTGGTTTCCCTGCTCGAGTTCAGAAGCAACCACGGGGGGGGGGGGGGGGGGGGGGGTCTCCTTGGGTTTTTAAAGTCGCGAGGTTTTTCTTCCTCTTTTTTCTTACTTTGCAGCGTTGCTCTCTAGCTGTGGGAGCATCGTTTCTGGGCTGGGGTTTTTTCCCTTTGGAAGAAAACGGGGTTGGGAGTGGAGGAGCCAGTGACTTGGGCTTGTAAGGGTCCCTTCTCCAACTTTGGATTCGTCTTTTGTGTTTGTGTGTGAGAGGCTTTTTTTCTTCCCCTCTTCTCCCTCTGATTTTTTTCTTGGAAACAAGGGAGATGCAGGGGAGGAGGGTGAGATTGTTCCAAAAAGCGAGATCCCAAAATTAGAAGAACAGCTTTTGAAATCATTAAAAAGTTATAATGCCGACCCTGGGCTGGCGATTTCTCTTTTTCTTTTGGGGAAAAAACAAGCAGTAGGTATCTGAGTGGGCATCCTTGGCTCGTAATAAGGGTCAGCGGGGGGCGGAGGGGCGGGATTGCCCTCTCACCCAGGAAAGGGAAGGGAGGGGGAAGAAGGAAGGAAATGTGAATGAAGGGAGGAAGGAAAGAAGACGGGAATAAGAAGGAAGAAGGAGAGGAAGGAATGAGACTAAAAGAAACTAACTGATGTCTCTAGGTTTGATATGTTTTTAATACCCTTTCTCCACTAAAGTTGTAGTTGCATTGTGTCATTTGTCAAATCCTATAAATCTACAAGAAATCCCTGTGATAAGATCAATGATTATCTCCAAATGTGTATACAAAGGATTACATACCGGTATTAAATTATGGAAGGAGGTGGCAATTTAGAGAGATTACTTGAAGTTTATACAAAAGAATGGGAAAGTGGGTGTGCATTTTTGTTGAAAAAAAAAATCCCAAAACAATGGAAACACTAGCAAAAGGACAACTAATAGAGAAGATGGAATGGAAACTTACACTCTGAGCCTAATCTAAAGAATTTAAACAGGTCTAATCCTCTTTTATGCTTCAAGCTTCCTGTTGCCTTTTCCCAAAGGGAAGCTTTTTGCAAAAGTTAAGAAAAATTCTGCATGAAGTAGAATAATTAATCTTACATAAATATGAGAAATTGTCATCGGATTTAGTGTCTAAATTTATTTCAAAATATTTCAGTATTGCTTACACTGAAAATTCATATAACAGAGTGTCTTGTAAGTCTTAAAAGTAAAACTAAGATGCAAAACATGCTGCAAACATGCAAAGCTGACTGATCAGGAAACAATCAGGATTGGGCTCAAAATATTTTCTTTCCACACAAATCTATTAAACTTAAACTTGAATGACTTCAATCATTTAACTATATTTTGCAGAAAATATAAAATATTTCATGTAAAATATAACTGAAATTCGAATGACATCTATTTCAGCTATACTTTATTTTATAGTGTACAAGCAGCAGATGTCCTTGATGTATTATGTCCATTGCACGTTTCATTTTTAAAAAGTACAACATAACATTTGAACCAGTACTTTGAACCATAAAACTGCTTTGAAAATTCCTCAACAAACTATTAATTCAATGTTTTGTCCTCATTTTTCAGAACTAGAAAATGTAATGGGACAATGTACAAAGTTAATCCATTTACTAATATTTAAACAATAGTTTTCTCAAACAAAACTGTCTAAAATGAAGGACGGAAAAATATCACTGCTTTGTTATTTTCTACTTAATATTAGCACCTTAATAATAATAATCAACAATTTACATTTTCCAATTGTATACTCTTCAAATACATAGTCAAGAATATATAGAGAAATGAAGACTTAGAACTGACATTTGTAGATTCTCAAACTTCATCAATTAATGGCAAGAATGTCTTTACCATTTGGCTCTTGAAAAGCAAAATAAATATATTAACCAAAACTATAAAAAAAACAAAAACGAGCAATTTGGACAAAAAACTGTCAGCCAGCAATAGTGTCTGTTTAATTATGCAGATATTCCTGTTTGTATATGCCCATAAAAACTTGCATTAGGCCATTATGTGGATCCTTCTGTCCAGAATATATTAGGTAGCTTCCAAATAGGAAACTCAACAAAAAAAGCCTATTTTAGCAAGAATTCCAAGTAGCACAATGCTCTGAATTAGAGCTAGCTAAATATCAGCAATGTTGCAGATTGATCAGAATACCATACTTTAAGACAGGCTAAGAGAAACAAAATACCAAAGTTTCATAATATTTTGAGAAACATTAAATATATGTAGAGGTAAATATCTATTTTGTCATGAGGTAATTTAAGATTAAAGCAGTATTTTAAAAATATAAAGATACTTCTGAAGCTCTTTTAAACTAGAATAGGCTAAATGTGAATTCATGGAGCTTGGCTTGCAATTAATTTTTTAGAAACATTTTCATATAGGTTTGTGAAAAATTAAAAGATGGGCAGCAATTTAAATGTTTAGTAAAATTCTTAATTTTTAAGTATTTTATTATTCCTCCAGATCATAATATAAATGAAGATTCATTCATCCAGGCCAAAAATATCTTAAAAGATTAAATCATGGCAACTGGATCAAAGCTTGTTAAAACTGAGATGTTTCGTTACTATCATGTTAACTTCTTCAGTGAAAATGAGAATTTGGATAGGCAGAGTGTTAGTCATTGGAAAGAAATTGAATCAATTAAATAAAGAATAAGATAAGTTGAACTTAATCCAAGTGAGTCTAAACCTAAATTTAAGATTTTTTTGAATTATGGGGTATTGTTCCTTAAAATCATTTTAAAAACATAAAATCCTTAAAATCATAAGATCTGATATGATCAGTATCTATAATTTTAAATATAACTAAACAGTAAAATTACAACCTTATCAAATATCTACTGTGTAAACATTTAGGCTAGCAATGCAACAACAGTAGGAGATAAAAATGTATTTCATATATTTGTATATAAATGAAATAAATTATAAAGATCCAATACTTGTGAAGTATTAGTAGAGGTATAGATACTCTTAAAATCTCTTCAAAGTTAACAATTTTGTAAGTTTTCCACTGTTTTTAATTGAAATTGGCAATCAGTAGAATCTGAAAAGATGACCAAATCTGCATATTATCCTCCAATTACTATGATGAGAAAATTATTTCAGTGTTATCTTTGCCATATAAAATATTTGAATGCTACTTTGGTCTAACTTTGGTCCCTTAAACAAAAGATTATCATCTTTGAAAAGAATCTTATCAAGCTAGTTGTTTAGAGAATTTTATTAGAAAATATGTTTATTTAAGCTGAAGTTAAACAGCTCCTAGGACTCTAAAATATTGACAAAAAGGAACATACTTTTAAGAACTTTCACTGCTGCCATCTGCATTATAGTTTGACCAGGATGAGGATAGAAAAGTCCCCCATCTTCTGTTCAAGTGTATTATGCATTTCCCCCCCAATAGATGACTTCCTTAGGCTAGATGTTTTCTCCTTGGCAAGGTGGAATAGCCATCTCCAATGTGGTACTCCCCATTAAGTCCTCAAGCCAACTTTTAGACCCAGATCTTTAGGCTCTTATGGAATGATAGGGGGCTGAGGACAGATCTTACCCCAAGACAGAGAATGTTCCAAAGAGCACGGAAAGCTCTTCTGGATCCCACCAGCTAGAGTTGTTTGACCAATGGAATCTGCAGTAGGCCTCTGCTGGCACGAGTGGGGTGGGCATGACAGGAAGAGAATGTCTATACTCAAGCTTATTCATTTCTCCAAAGTTCATTATCAGTCAATGAAAGCCAACATTAAGAATTACGCATTGACCAAATCCACATAAACAACTTTAAATCCTAGGAAATTCCTATTTGGCGCATACAAAATTAATCCAGTAAGACTATTACAGAACTACATTTTTCTACATGGATCATCCTCAGAAAAGCATTTAGCAAGGATCAAATTTTAGCAAAGCTGTTTTCATTGCACAGAAAGAACAATGTGAATTTTTTTTCTGACAATATTTAAGAGGATTTATTTTAAGAGGTTAGTGTTCATGCTCTATGTAAAAAACAGTATTTTTACAGGTAAAGCTCTTTTTCAGAGTTCCATATTTAATACTCCTGTTCACTGTGATATATAAAGCATAGGAATATCACAGAATTAATCTATATTTCAGTTCCTATGCTGTAGAGAAAAAGCATTTCATAAAAATAAATTCATGCATGAGTGTGAAATCATCCTATGGCCAATCATTTAATATAACCTGGTTCCATCCTTTAAGTTAGGATTCCCAATTAGCAGGAATTTGGCAAAGCTTCATGGGAAATACAAGAATTTGGTAATATCGAAGTATGTAGAAGCCAGCAGATTGATGAATACAGATTTACTGTCATTTCACAAGGACCAAAGACTATCCTACTGAACTGCACTAAGAAAAGTTAAAAGTGGCACTTATTCACTACAATGATTTTAAAGGCAAGTTATGATCTATTGTAAAAGACAGACATATAATATAAAATATTGCATAAATTGCATGTGTGTTCCAGATAAAATAAGATCATGTAGTAAGTTTCAATGAAAGGCATTCAATAATAATAGCATCTTAATATCAGAACAAAACAATTTAACAATATACAGCGTACCATCATGATATTGTTCCTATTGTCCTTGAGCGCCATACATGGCATACACAAGTTCTACTCTCAAGCTTATTTTTTGTGTTTTGAACATAATAGATTCCAATGTGACCTTCAAAAAAATAATTAAGATTCTGTTTACTCCATCTAGAGAAATCCCGGACTAATAACTGATTATCTTGTATAAAAGGCAGCAATATTTATCTGTTCCCTCAGTGAGGTAGAACAATGTTTAATGTACAAGCCTGGTGCACATATTGGTGTTCAAATATTTTCTTGAACACGATTTCCTAAATCACATTTTTATTCCTTCTTGCTGACTGAGTTGTGACAGAGTTTTCTTTATGCGTAAAGCTGTTAGTCTAGCTGCACCATTGGCATACCAGCATTCTCGCATAATCTTGGCCATTACTCGTAATGCCTGCAAATAAAAGAGAAAATAGCCATTATTTGATATCACATAGCAAAGAATTTTAAGTACATTTATCCATAAATACAAATACAAAATATGAGTCCATAATTTTAAATAGAACTGTCCTGACATTCATATTTCTTTTAATTCAAATTTAAAAATCAAAATATTGATTTTTTAAAACATTGGTTTATTCTTAAAAGTATTCTAAAACTTATCTAAAGAAAAGAATCTACCTCACAACTTTGCCATCTATTTGGAGTATTGGGTCGTAGCTTCTGTTCACAAACAATTCTCCTCATTTCTTCAACTGAAGGATCAGAAGGGACAAGGTCGTAATATGGTAACTGATAATCTTCATGGATTCCTGAGATATATAAACCGATATATAATTTAAGGTTCATTTCTGACCCTGATTGAAGTTAATTTTTTTGGAGGGGGAACCTACCACCAATTGAACATCGACGAGCTATTTCCCAAAACACTAGACCCATTGCATAAATATCTGCTCTTTTGAAAGATTCAAAATGCTTCATGTTTATCGAATCATCAAGTACCTCAGGAGCCATGTACCTATGAATATAAAGACCAATATGTATTATTTATAAAGCAATGCTGCTTGAACATTATTTAATTTAATTTTTTAAAGGCATAAGCAGCTGTAAGCATTTCTTCAATTCTACAAAGTAACTATCTGAACTTTATACTGTATACTATTACTGGCTACTTCAATGAAATCCACAAAGTTTGCCTTTTAAAGAAACTTTAAATAGCATTGGAAAACTAAACCAGTTATTGCAGACTAAGTTAAGCACAGTAATTCACACTAATATATCACTGATTTTGAAGTGTAATTACTACTAAGTCCACACCACTACTTTTGAAAACTTTGATTTATAAAATCAAAATCTTATTTTATCTATTCAAGACTGCTTTGAGAGTATTAACTCTCAATAGTATATGGCTATTCCCAAATAGCTAAGAAATCACAAACCAGCATTTCTGGCTCACTGTTTAGAATCTGGGACCAAACATTCATTTTCCTTTCTTATATAGGGAGAAATGTATTCTGGCTATCAAAGGATTATAACCTGCCTTTTCTAACTGGGTTAAAAGTTTCAAACTGCCTCATTCCTGTTCATCTCAAGAATGACCCTAATATTTTATAGCTGCCATCGTAGGTGACCCAATTAGTACTGCAGCTGTTCACTTGCAGTGCCTGGACACTGAGGGTTTGGATAGGGCACAACAGGCTTCAGTTGAAAGTAGCTAAAATGGGTTCAAAGGGCTTTGGGACCTGACAGTTTATCATCTTTAGTTCTGAATGGGGTTTTGCTACCTCGGATAGATTCTAGCCCAATAGGGTTTTGCTACCCTCAGATAGATTCTAGGCCCAATCTGTGAGTTCTCCTGGACTCACATCTCCTGTTCAAAGAGCAGGTAGCAATAGAGTCTCAGATTGCCTTTGTTCAACATGATGCACCTTTTTCTGGATCATGAGGTCCTGTGCAGTCACTTATGCTTTGGTCATCTCTCAGTTGGATGACTAGAATGCATTCTATGTGTGGCTACTCCTAAGGAGTATTTAGAACCTATAACTGGTATAGAATGCAACAGCACAAATAGTTCTGGAGGCCCCTCAGGTGGTATATATAACATTGCTGTTGTGTGAGCTGCACTTGATGCTAGTCTATTTTCCGAGTCCAATTTGAGTTGGTTAACACCTCTAAATCCCTTTATGGAATGAATCCAAGGTTACCTGAGATGTCTCATCCCAATGGGATTGGCCTGGAGGGGTCCTGGAAAAGAGTCTACTGTGGCCTGTTCTTTTGTTTTTTAGCCTTTATTTAATAATTTTAATTGTTTTATATTATCTTTTTATAATTCTGTAGGCCGCTCAGTCACTGTGACAGTGAGATGGGCAGCATATAAATTAATTAAATAAATAATAGCTATTTAGAATTGTTGACTATTTGTAAGTTATTGCAAATAATTCCTACCCATCCACGAAGGAGACAGACAGACGGCTGTACATCGTTTTGAACAGTAGCTACTGTAGCACTATTTGAGTTAAGAAAAGCTAAGTATCAGTCAGGTTTGGCTATCTGATGCCACCTAGCAGGGCTACTTCACATATAATATGTTTTAATTATTTCTGTGACTGAATAGAATCTGCTATAAGATTTCTGGAAATACAAAGCATTGAGCAAAATAAACAACAAATAGATTAGAAGAAGTAATTGATTTTCACAATATCAGGTTGCAGATGAAGGTCTTTTTCAGACATGTCTTCCATACAGAAAACTCATTTGTCAGAGAAAACTACACTGGAATTGTATTGTTGCTTATGACTTCATCTGGAAACCAAAATAATACAGTATATTTCAGATAAAAGTATCTATCATTGCCTAAAACAAGGCTCATACATTTAAATGGAAACCTGATTCCTCATTAATATTTACATGAATTTCCAAGATTAAAAGATTACATGTTAATAGGTTACCAAGAATGGTAGAAAAATGTAAGTCCAAAGATTCTTCTCCATTTTATTTATTGCTCTGTGGAGAAGAAGGTCACCTTTCAATTACTTTTGCCTTCACTCTTAAAGAGAAGGCACTGCTCAGCAGTTCTGGGACACTTATTGGAGAAGAATAAAGAAGGAAAGAATGAGGCAAAATATATTGTTTCCTCTCATTTGTAAGAATGCAGTAATGCATTTATCTTTTTAATAACTTGTATTCAATAAGTTAGGATGATAAGCAGAAACTTTCCAATGAGTTCAGACTTATCTATGTGAGACTCCAAATCCACGTTCAATATGAGGCACATTTTTATTATATTAGTTTTCATAATATAGTAGTAACAGAAAGTTTGTGAAATATACAATCAGAATCTTTTTTTTAAAAGATTAGACGTTCTGGTTACAATATAGGTCAGTGGTCACCAACAGGTGGACCGCGGCATACTGGTGGTCCGTGAGAAAATTTTGGTGAGCCACAGAGAAATGTCTGCCCCAAAGAAATTAATCCAGGCTGTGCGGGAAAACAAGGCTGTGCCACCCACATGGCCTGCCCACCCACTGGCTCCCACCCTTTGGTGCAGCCCTTGCCAGCCAGGACGAGGTAATGGTGCTGTTCCAGCAAGAGGGGGCTGGCGGCACAGGTGGGCTGAAGCAGCAATGGAGATGGCCAGAAGATGCAGGAGTGCCACACTACTTGCATTTGTGCAGCACTCCTGCACCTTCCAGCTTGCCTCTCCTGGCCTGGGCTCTTCCTTGGTGGCTGTGGGCTGTAGGGACAGCCCGGGACAGGAAAAGTACCAGCTGGTGGTGGTGGGATGCAATGGGCAAAGCTGCGCTCACCATCCAGTTCAGAGGTCCAGAGTGCCAGAGAAATGCTTGTTGGAAATGCCAACACACGTTTCCAGCGCGCTCTCCTCTGTCCTGAAGTAGGATTGAGTGGGGGAAAGAGAGCAGGGGGAAAGGTAGGAGTGAAGGACCAAATGCCCAGACCAAAGGACTGCCAAGGAAGACAGGCTCCTAATAACCAGCCTATTTGTGCAGGAAAGAGCTCAAGCTTTTCTGGGCTCAACACCCCCTGCTTCGGCCTCCACATTGGGAGGGACCCTTCTCTGCTTGGAAAGGCAGAGAAACCTGGAGCTTAACCTAGGGGGTGTAGAGGCCTAACGAGGGGGGGTGTTGCCTGGTTATTAGGAGCCTGTCTTCCTCGTCAGCCCGGTCCTCCCCCAACTCCAGGCAGCCACACTGGCAAAGGAGGGAGAGGTTTCCTCTGACTTGGGAGATATGAAATGACAGGAGACCAGATTGGGGGGGCCTCTGCTTTTCTTCTGTTTGAGGGGGAGCTGGTTCCTCCCCATCCAGATCTTCCCAGCCTCCAGGCCCCTTTTTCTTCCCAAAGGATGAGAGAGGCCCCTCCTTTCCCTTCGCTCTATCCCAGTTATGATTAAGCATTTACAATTTTGTTATAATTAAATAAGCATTTATATATATATGCATTTGTTTTCTTAAGTTTTCGCGGGTACTTACATGTATGGTATTCAGCTTTGTTCGGGTATTTTCCCACGTCATTCTAGTTGTGCTTTTAAAGTTGTAGCAACGTTTCGGCAGAATCTCATCTGCCATCATCAGGCTTCTGTATAGTGCTGTATAGTATAATGACTCACAGACGAACACAATACAGAAGCCTGATGATGGCAGATGAGATTCTGCCGAAA